CAAACTGAACCAGATTTCCCCCCCCATGCCCCTAGTTGATGCCCATTCTCATGCCACAGCAAAAGTAACAATAAGATCCCTGTGCAACCAGGAAGATGGCTACCTTGCCCTACCAATGCAGAAAGTAAGGAGAGATATGTTTGGACCCATTTTGATGCTGTCCATCTTTCTTTATGAACAACACAGTAATTGTACAGGCATAACTTGGTCAGTTCAGACCACCTCAATAAACTGAGTCACACACACACACACACACACACACCCCGCAGTGTATATAAAAGATATGTTTACACTATGCTATACAATAAAACCTCGGTTGTCAAACGTAATCCATTCCGTTAGTCCATTCGGCTTCTGAAATGTTCGACAACCAAGGTGCGGCTTCCAATTGGTTGCAGGAGCTTCCTGCACTCAAGCAAAAGCCGTGCCGGATGTTCAGCTTCCGAAAAACCGGAGCATTTACTTCCGGGTTTTCAGCATTCGGGAGCCAAAACGTTCCAAAATGGAGGCATTCGGGAGCCGAGATTTGACTGTAGTCCATTAAGCCAGGCCTCCTGACTCCAGGACTGGGAGGGGAAAATCCCACTTCCATCCCATGCCAGCTCCACTCCCATGGCCAGAAGAGGGGCAGTGGAGAGCTTCCTTCTCCTGGAAGTGGCCAGGCTGCCCACAGCTGCACCCTCATCCTCGTAAGGAGCAATGTTTGCCAAGGGCAATAAAATGAGGTATGCCTGTACTCGCAATTGGAACATTTGCCATTGAAATACTTCATCCACCCACCATCTCCTGTGTTTTCTGGGGATACAGATCAAGGTGGAAGAGGAGGGGGGCATATAGCATGGCTTTATTCCCACCCGCCCGAAATCCACACAAAAATGCTTCCCAGTCTTTATTTACTTATCACAGGTGCTAATTTGTTAAATCATTACCACCTGTTGTAGACAACTTGATGGATGGTTTCCACCTTTCTGGCCTAAGTTTTATTTGTTAGAAATGAACCCCAGGTTCAAAATCATATCTGTCTATAAAGTTATGCCTCTCCGTATCCAGAATGTCTATGGGTCTGACTGTTATTCCTTAGAAGGAAGCAATGATAATCTGTGCATGTTCAAAACATTCTGTGAATATTCAAAATTTGATAAAACATTAATTGGTAGTCAAAATCAGTTAAAGCTTTAGTCTTATTGCCATCTGACTGTCTTGGGAGACCTTCATAGAGTCATTGATAAAGGGCCAATTTTAATTGGTTGGTTAGTGTTTCTGCGACGATTTTGGTAATTGTTGTAGAGAGCAAAAGAAAAAGGAACATTGCAGATGGCCTTCTACATATGAGTGCCTGCTTTTGTTTATATCCTCTTGGACACCATCAAACCACCGCCCTTAATTACTGATTAATTAAGTTAGAAAATAAATAGATGATAAATCTGCTCTTTAGGATGTAACCCTATACCCACTTACCTGGGAGCAAGCCCACCTGAACTCAGTGGACTTACTTCCAAGCAGACATGTATAGGATTGCACTGTTAATCAATTAATAGAACACAAACCTCTTTAATCAATCAACAGCCCTAATTGCTACCTGGTGTTGCAGAATTGAGTCCCAAGCTCTGGGGGCTGCATCTGAGCAACCATCTGCTCAAACCAGCACCCCCCCCCCTCCCGGCTTTTACACAACACACCTTCATATCCTTATGTGATTGCACTTTTCTCCCTGTTTCTTGGAAGTTCCCTCGAGGTGTGCTGCTTGATGATGACAGATGATGAAACACCCCAGAGCAGAATAAGACGCCCCCCCACCTCCGCAAACACACACACACACACGCATGGGGATTTCTTCACCTCTGATTTTTTACTCTGTGGTTGCTGTGTTTATTTCTGAACACTTGCAAGACTACTTCTAGGCACAGGGGGCTAAAGAGCTGATTTGCCAAGAACTGTGAAAATTAATGCTGTGTGAATAAAAATTATTACCGAAAGAAAGAAAGAAAGAAAATAAATAAATCTGTGTGTGTTTGTAACATCAGCTACAACCCCTTGTTAAATGCTTCGGAATGAGCATTTGGGGGACTGTTTGCAGAAGCCCCCCCCCCAAATGATGCACACATAGGTTCCATCCCACACCCAGTCTGGGAGAAAACTTACAAGAAGCTCAGAGGCTTTTTCTGGGCCTGATCAGGACCATGTTTGCAGGGACATGGCTCTTACTATATTAAAATAAAAAGAACAGTCTCCCTTCTTGGAGATAAAGAGATAGGCTATAGCTTTGTAAAATCTTTGGGGGGAAATGTCCCCGGTTTGGAATTGTACACACACACACCAAGCCAGAGTAATAAGTAAATGGCACACCTATTGAGAATAGCCATTAAAGGTTAAAGTTCTGCAAACTTTGACATTCTCCTATGCAAGCCCTCTTTTGAGACTAGTAGCACGTTTGCATGAGCCATCCACCCCCAAGAGGTCCACACAGGGTGACTTCCTGGTCAATCACATGCTTGTTTCTCACTTGTTTCTCTTCTCCACGTTTAAACCCTCTGCAAGGCCAGGGGACCTTCCCCGGAACACCACACACCGTAGGGCATGAAACAGCCACTACTACTACTAGTACTCTAGCATTCAACTAAAGATTGCAGTGTTAGTTCTAGCACGTACACACACATGTGGAACCCCCCCCCAAAAAAACAACAACCCCACACCCTTTCTCCTCCCATTTCCAGATAAGCAAAACATGTAGTAGAGATTAGATGCTGCCCAACTAAAAACACAAAGGCAAACTTTAAGAGGTGGGTGGGTGTGAAACAGATACAGAATAAAAGATTGAAAAATGGGGTCATAAGTAAAGCTACAAGCCTAACTTTGAAAAGTGCATAAGACTCTTAAAAGCTGCATAGGCTGAGGAATAAACAAACCCAAACATTAATGCACTTAGTAAAATCAAACTGAAAAGCAGCCACAAAATCCATGAAAGCAAATTGACCGGGGGGGGGGGGGGGCAAACGTCTGCTCCTTTTCCTCTCTCCAATTGTCATCCACTAGAAGAGCCCAGGTTCAAGGGAGCACAGAGAGGGGGAGGGGGAGCCTGTGCTAAGCTTAATTAAGATATTGGGAGAAACTTAATCCCGAATAAGCCCAAAGTTTGGAAGTTTGCAATTTTATATCCTTTAGGGAAACACTCGAACATACTATAATAAGTGGTGCCTTGGGTCTGGCCATGATGCAACTTTCCCCACCAAGCCGTCTTAGTCTAGGACAGAGGCTGCTCTTAGCTCTTCTGATATATCGTGCTTTGTTTACTTAAAATCAATGCTCTGCCTCATGGAAAAAGAAGAGGTGGGGAGAAAGATGGGATGGCTTGACAATATGAGATTAAAAGCTTTACTAATATAATAATCTCCCTTTTGCCCTTCTCCATCACCTGCCACCTAAGCTCCTTGCAAACATCCATTAATTAAAGCCTCCCAACTTTCACATTCACTGTGTCGCCATTTTTAAAAATGAAATAAATCTCAAAATCTTTGAAAGTTGCAAGGGGAGGAGGGGGGAAACATGTAGGGTACCCCCCCTTTCTAACTAGTAGACTCCGAAAATAGACCTCGTATCTACACCTCGGTATAAACTGTAGATCATAATGCCAACTCAGAGCTGGGGAAATGAAGAGTTTGCAAATCAAATCCACATATTCGTTTTCTTTGGGTGGGTGGGGGAATACACTCTATTTGGGCTGCACAAATCATCAGTAAATCAGAAAACAAATCTTGCTGAAGGCTTGTTTTAAAACCTCGGAGAAGAAGAGAGCAGAAGAGAGCACTCTGTTGTCAACAGCTGGGACCTAGACCCAGAATGTCGGTTTCCATTTGCTTTGCTACAATTTGGATTTCAGCGCAATTTAAATAAAAAACCACAAATTACTATCATTTTAAAATTTGGCTTTTATATGTGACATTTGCCAGCCTACTGAGACAGCTGGTTTCCTTTCGATGCCAGTTTTGTGGGGTGGGGAGAAAGGGAGATGCAAGACATGTCATATATATGGTAAGATGTATCTATATTGCCAAACTGTTCTGCTGCGCCACTCTCCAGAGCTGCCAGTCAGCCCTCTTTGCCACTCCTGGTGAGAAATCAAATATTTTGCCATTTTGGGGGAAAGATGGCAAAGTGTTAGGAGTGCCGTTCCCATGCCTTGTCCATGGAAAATACCTTTGAATGTCTCTATTTGTGTACTGGGATGTGCGGCTCGGCTACGCATGAGAAACCCACTAGACAAAAACACAACCCAAAACATGTGTGCAAAAGACGAACACAGAATAAGAAAAATATATTTCCCATGGCTAATCAACAACCCCCTGCTTCCATTCAGGTGTTGTACAACCAAAGCATCAACATTCCACACTTGCAAATGACCGTCAGTGCTTCGCACTGTGTTGCTGAACTGTAATTTCCCCCTCCCCATATCAAATGTCCAAATCACCAACATCAGAAAAACAGCAGCAGCAGCAAACACTTTAAAAGTGCCACTGGGCATCATCGCCATCATTTATGTTCCATTGTTTAAAAAAGAAAAGAGGGGATAGAGAAGAAAGATTATCCTCTTCGTCTCCCTTAGAAATTCTGATGGCTTTTTTTTTTTTTTAATCCACTACATATTTGCCAAACCCACCAGCAATTTCATCAAAAATAAACAGAAAGAAAGTAGCAAAATGCCTAATGGGAAGCCAGGATCAAAACCTGCCGCAAATATCCCGGTGAATTACCCTTTCTCTTTTCCTATGTTTGAACCGCTGTGTTGTTTGGGCATTTGTTTGTTTCGGGTTCCTTAATAAATCTACAGACACACAGTCCAATTCAGGCACTTGAAGCCTCCAGCTCCATCTCATCAGCTCTCCTTGGCTGATCAGTTCTGCCGGGCAAATCCTTTCCTCTTTTGGTAGCCAGGTATCCTTGAGTCTTCAGAATGCAACATTTGTAGATATAGAAATAGAAGGGATAAAACGACATTGCCTTACCTGATCGGAGGAGGAGGGTTTGTGCTGTATGGTTGGGGATGGGCAGAGAAGCCCTCTCTCTCCCCTTTGCAAAGTTTATCACGACAGCCAGCCGCTTATTCCAGTAGCAGGAGCAAAATAACCGATGGAGAAGGGAATAGGAGATGGCATGGTGGGGGTGCAGAGCAGGGGATACAGCATAGAGAGGTGGTGGGGACGTGAGTGAGAGAGAGAGAGGGATAGAAATGAAAGGGATTAGGCCAGGGGTATTGTTCCTGTAAGGAGCAGAAGGCAGTGAGATGTCGAGATCCCTGTGTGTGTATGTGTGTGTGTGTGCCTGTGTGCCACACACTCCGGAAAGGGAGGATGCTGTGACACACACACGCCAGATGAGATCAAGAGCGCTGTTGGTTTGTACTAAGCGTTACCGTCACTGCTGCTGCTGCCGCTGGTAATTTGGTCCAGGCTGAGGAATAGGGAGCCGTGATGCCTTTAGCATCCTTGCAAGTTTTCTTTGATCTGCATCCTCCAATCTGGACTATGCTGCACACACATAACATTGCAAGCAGCTACAAATGACAACTGGGTGGCTGAAATGTCAGGGGTGTGGTGGCAGGGAAAGGCTTCTCAAGCAGGAGAAGCTGCAGCTTATAGAGACAGAGAGTAGGGTTTGAATGATGGGGCCAGGTCTGAAAGGGGCCTAAGTGCTCTCCCCGCCCCCTTCCTCTCTCTCTCCCTCTCTGCTGCAAAACTTGACCTTTGCCTCCTTCTTAAGATCCACTGGGCCAGACCCACTTAAGGTGTAAACATGGAAGTACCTGATTTAAACTGGTTGGAGAAGAGAGGAAAATTTCCCAATGATGTAAAGGACATAAGAATAAATAAGAGATGGTGCAATTTTAAAGTCTCGTGGCCTTAAATAAATTGAGCCACACCTTCACTGGGTGCAGAGCCTGGAAAGTTCATTAAAAAAGGAACTAGTTCAAGTTTAAGATGTCCAAAAAGGAACAAATTCCAATTTACCTTTGTCCCTATTCAAAAAGAACTTGTTTGGTTCATGTTCAGTTCACAGTTCAATTCCAGTTCATCCAAATGATCCTTGGCTATCCCCCCCTCAATAATTCAGAATGTTGCAAGCTGCTATGCTGAAATGTAAAATATACTCAAGAAAACTAAAACAACAACAACTATGGAAAAATCAAAATATGCAGATGGTGGAATATGATTTTTAAAATTTATTTCCCCAGCAATTATGATCTTTAAGCTCAAAGAGTCTAATGAATACAAACCACAGGTATGAGAATGAAAATCGTTCCAAGTTCTACCCAAAAATGAAATTACACTTTTCCATCTGCAGGTGAGGCAGTGGGTGTGCTGGACTATTGTCTTGCCACAGTAATGAACTGGATGAGAGCCAACAAACTGAAGCTCAATCCAAATAAGACTGAGGCACTGTTAGTGGGTGGTTCCCTAGACCGGATGGATGGGAGGTAGCCTGCTTTTGACGGGGTTAAAGGTAAAGGTACCCCTGCCCGTACGGGCCAGTCTTGCCAGACTCTAGGGTTGTGCGCCCATCTCACTCAAGAGGCCGAGGGCCAGCGCTGTCCGGAGACACTTCCGGGTCACGTGGCCAGCGTGACATTGCTGCTCTGGCGAGCCAGAGCCGCACATGGAACGCCGTTTACCTTCCCGCTAGTAAGCGGTCCCTATTTATCTACTTGCACCTGGGAGTGCTTTCGAACTGCTAGGTTGGCAGGCGCTGGGACCGAACAATGGGAGCGCACCCCGCCGCGGGGATTCGAACCGCCGACCTTTCGATCAGCAAGCCCTAGGCGCTGAGGCTTTTACCCACAGCGCCACCCGCGTCCCTTTGACGGGGTTACACTCCCTCTAAAGGAGCAAGTATGTAGCTCGCAGATACTTCTGGATCCTTTGCTGTCGCTTGAGGCTCAAGAGGCCTCAGTGGCGTGGAGTGCTTCCATCAGCTTTGGTTGATGGTCCAGCTGCACTCCTATCTGGACAGGGATAGCCTAACTTGCCCCTAACTAGCCCCTGCCAGTATGGCTAATGGTCATTTATGCTCTGGTAATCTCTAGGCTAGCTTAATGCAGCTCATTACACGTAGGGCTGCCTCTGAATACAGTTTGGAAACTTCAACTGGTGCAGAATTCAGTGGCCAGGTTGCTCACTGGAGCAAGATGGTTTGAGCATATTACACTGATCCTGGCCCGTCTGCAATGACTGCCAGTTAGTTTCCAGGCTCAATTCAAAGTGCTGGTTTTGACCTATAAAGACTTAAATGGCTCAGGACCGCAGTACCTCAAGGACAGTCTTTCCCCATTTGAAGCAACCTGGACCCTGCAATCATCATCTGAGACCCTTCTTCATATGCCTCTTCCATGAGAAGTCCGGAGGGTGGCAACATGAGAACGGGCCTTTTCTGTAGTGGCTCCTAGTTTGTAGAATGCTCTCCCCTGGGAAGTTCGCCTGGTGCCTTCATTACATATCTTAGGCACTAGGCAAAAACATTTTTCTATAGCCAGGTCTTTGTCTGATTAACATTCTATGGCCTTTTAAATGTATTTGTGGGAGGGAGTGTTATTGGTTTGTTTTTGTTTTATTGTTTATTTTTTGTTCTCAGTTTGTATTTTTATGCTGTGGTCTATGATCTTCGGAGGAAGGGTGGTATACAATTTTAATTAAAAATAATAACAAATAATTAAATCACATTTGGTTCACCTGACAATTATGGGAACTACTTTCAGGTGTTGTTCAGAGATTATTGAACTAATTCAGTGAATTAGTTAAATTGAATCAGTTCATACAGAGCACCGGTTGGGTATGCAATTTAGTCCCGTTACTGTACAGTGTGATGTGAGCATATCTCCATATTAGATTGTCTGGGAGGGTACAGAATGGGGGCAGGGGACCTGTAGCTTCTCCCGACTCCATCTCCAATCAGCCCCTGCCAGTATGGCTAATGGTCAGGGATGATGGGAGTTGCAGTCCAGCAATATCTGAAGGGCCACAGTTTTCCCCATGCCTGATATAAAAAGAAATCTGTCTAAAGTCATTGAGAACAAATCCCTGGTTGTACACTTGTTAGCATATTGTAGCACCAAACGCTTTTCAAAGGAATACTTCTTAAAATAGGATACCCCCCCCAATTGCTCCCATTTTAGAGAAGGAGCAACTGGGGCCAAGATCTAGGAGGTTTGAAGCTAAAGTTCAGAGGTGATCAACTGATGTTCTCACCATTGAACCACACACACATAAAGAGGGCCTGTGACTCAAGTGGCGAAACAACATGCTCTCTGTGCATCTCCAACTAAAAAGGTGTCAAGGAGCGGAACTGGGAAAGACCTCATTCTGCCAAATACTTTGTAGAGAGGTTGTCATCAACGCCAAAGCATGTGGCAGCAGATACAATCAATTGTGTGTGTGTGTGTGTGTGTGTGTGTGTGAGAGAGAGAGAGAGAGAGAGAGAGAAGGCCTATCTTTCTCTGACTTGAATATCTACCTCATTGCTTTCGTTAGGTGGCCTGGGGTTGTATCCAACAAAGTCTTACTCAGAGAAGATCTGTTGAAATTAATGGACCTAAATTAGCCGTGTCTATTAACTTCCATATGTCTACTATGAGCAGGACTAGCATTGGCTACAACCTCTGGATTATTATACTGTACTGTGAAAGAAGGGAACAGAAAATGCTCTCACTCGGTACGATGCATAATTTTATAAACTTCTCTCATGGGTTCCCTTGCTGCTGCTGCTGCTACCACTGCTGCTTGTAGTTGCTGTTAATAATAATTAAACTTATATACTGCCCTTCCTCCCAAAGGACCCCAATGCAGCAGCTGTATTCTTTCTAAACCAGGAACAGGGAATCTGTGGATCTGTTAGAGCCCAGCAGTGTGTGTGTGTGTGGGGGATTCAATTCACATTTAATGGCAGACCTTCCTAACTTGTACTTTCCAAAGCAATTCAAGAACTGAAACACAGCCATCCTCTGAAATTCATACTTCTCTGAATTTTGCAATGTAGCTCTCCAGCCAAGTAGTGTGTACAAAACTGCATACAGTAAGACTGCAACCTACATGCATTTAATGTGCACATTCAGCTTTATGTGCTTGGCAATTATTATTTTTTTTAAGGGGGATAGGAAGGGGGCAGGCGTCTGGGGGGAAAATACACTGGCAATCTCACCTGCCATTGAACCAATGTGTTTTGACTATACGTGATTTTGTCTATAGGTTATGTTCCCCAGAATGTAACCTCTGCGGAAGTTGTGGGCTTACTGTAAACTAGGCTAATGTGTGCATACAAAAGAACATACAAAAAGAACATATTAGGGAAAAATGCTTTGCCAGATGGGTATAATAGCAAAACTGTATACAAAAGAATGTGTATATTAGGATAACCTTAGCATGGAAAAGCAGCTGAATTTAAAAGAAAAAAATCCTCAAACCAATGTTGAAATGTGGAGAACATAAGATTTGAAAAATGAGAAACTTAGAGAACTTTAAATTGACAAATTTCCCCATCCATACCCGTCCTCCTTTGGGCTGTGAAGCCGTTTTGCTGAAGCCACGCCACCTGCCATCAGGTGTGTATTCAAATGGATAGTTTTAGATTGATCTTAAGCTGCTTTCGGCATCTGGGTGGACAGAAAAGGCAGGGTATGTCAGTATTTTAAACAAACAGAATTCTGTCCCACTGCAGTGACAAGTCTCTTGCACTTTGCACACAAACACACACACACAGCGCAAAAAAGGAAACCCTTCTGCTTTGCCTCGCCTAATGAATCCAGGAGAACGATGGCAAACGTCATAAATATTTATTCATCCGTTGTCATTTCCCTGTTCTGCGGCACTAATGATGTGCCCTTATTAGTCTCTGATTTTCTCTGCCAAATTTTTGCATTTCACCAAACAGCTATTTCTGCCTGCAGAATCCATTCTGTTGTGCACGCGCGCACACACACACACACACAGAGAGAGAGAGAGAGAGAGAGAGAGAGAGAAGTCTTTGGCCCAGAACAGCTTAATCCCTCACACAAGAGATGCCAGCACTTGAGGAATCCTGCTTACAGGAGAGGGAGAGGGAGGGCGGATCCTCAGAGCCTTCACATCCTGGGACCCCTTCTTCCACGATCCCAGATTGCACTTGTTGGTTTGAGGTTACAGTATTCCTTGACGTGAGAAAAGTTGGCCACAGACAAGTAAAAGATTGTTGCTTTATCAAAAGCGGAGAACATTTTTCAGTCCGACAAGTGCATTTCCTTCTGGGCAGCCTCCTTGGGGGAGGCAGGCATGGGCCGATGGTGGGCAGGGCTATAGG